TTTTAAAAATGTTATTTACATAGATGTGCACTAAATAAATGTTAAAGTTTCACTATTTGTTACAATTTATTTATAACTTATGTAAAAAATATGGAGCGAATGGGCACCTACAAAACAAAAAACACAAGCTTGGCCCAAAGTAACACAGGGCGACAAAAAAAAAGTCATGTCGTGACAACTTGACAATTTTTTTATCATTTTCGTCTCAGTGAGACAAATCAAATGCACTAAAAAAAATTCAAAAAAGTCACACACTGAACTAAATATTTTTTTTATAATTTAAATGAATTTAAAATACTTTAACTTTAAAAAATCATTACTCAATAACTATTAGGCCGATTTCCTTCAAATGGATGGACTTGCCCTTTAAATTGATATGCAATTTGAAATTGAATATTGGCAAACTTTTCTTCGAACAGTTTCTTTGTCACCATCGTGTAGAGCATCTTTTTATTAGTAGGAATCCAAATTTTTAAAATAATATACCGAGTAGTTTTCAAGGTATGATTTTTTGAAGAAAAGGTTTACTATTCAGGTATTGCGCCATATAGGAGAAATGCATGTTAATCTTACTTAAAATTGCATTTTTATAAAAGTATTTGTTTTAAGACTCTTCTTTTGCTTAAAAATGGTCAATTGCACCTTCTTTGTTCTAATTAGAATAAACAAAAACTATTTCTTTACTTAAAACAAACAAAGAGTGCAAGAGTAAAGCAAATAAAGAGTCTTTTTGTTCTAAAAATGATCACTGATCATTGAGCAAAAAGGATCTAGAAGTTTAAAGCAATAGCTTTCAATTTAAGAACAAATCTTTTTCAATTTAAATCACTTCCATTCAGATTCCAACTTGTTCACTTTGTTCTAGCTTTCTGAACTTTTTTTTGAAAATGTTCTCAGCAAATGCTTTCTCATCACTTTCTACTGATGTTAAATGCAATAAGTCAGTTGCTTCGTGTGCAACTGTTATCACAACAACTACTACCTAGAAGCTAACTGAAGCTAATCGTAGAATGTACCAACAAAATAAATCAAGTGACTTATTGCATTTAACATCACTCGAAAGTGATGAGAAAGCATTTGCTCAGAACATTTTCAAAAAAAGTTCAGAAAGCTAGAACAAAGTAAATAAGTCGAAATCTGAATGGAAAGTGATTTGATTTGAAAAAGATTTGCCATTATATTTAAGACTCGTGCCTTAAACTGCTAGATCCTCTTTGCTCAATGATCAGTGGTCATTTTTACAACAAAAAAACTCTTTATTTGCTTTACGCAGGTACTATTTATTTGTTTTAAGTAAACAAACAGTTTTTATTTATTCTAATTAGAACAAAGAAGGTGCAGTTGACCATTTTTAAGCAAAAGAAGAGTCTTAAGACAAATACTTTTATAAAAATGCAATTTTAAGTAAGATTACATGCATTTCTTCTATATAGAGCAATGCTTGATTAGCAAACCTTAACTTCAAAAAATCATATCTTGAAAACTACTCGGTATATTCTTTTGAAAATTTGGATTACAACTAATAAAAAATGGTAATGATAAAAAAAAAATTACTCGTAGGGGTTTTCTTAGATTATTTCGATTTAGTTCGAACTTCTTCGAACACTGTTCGAAGAAAAGTTTGCCAATATTCAAATTTTATTTCATCCTAAAGAGTAAGGCTATCCCTTTGGAATGGTCTTTATTTAAAGGAAATCGGCGTAATAGTTATTGAGTAATGATTTTTTAAAGTTAAAGTATTCTAAATTTATTTAAATTAGAAAAAAAATATTTAGCTCAAAGTGTGTGGACTTTTTGAATTTTCTTAGTGCATTTGACAAAACAACAAACAAAACAAAATGATATAAAATTTGTCAAGTTGTCACGACATGACTTTTTTTGTCGCCCTGTGTAATGCTGTAATAATCCTCAGATTAATACATTTTTCAATATCAAATAAAAATAAAATAACTATTTTTAAAAAAGCTTATTAAAGCCGTCTTAAATCAAAATGATAATTATTATCAAAACTACTAATCATTAGTTGCAATTTTTTAACTAAACAAAAAAGTACGGACCTACTCAAAAATATCGCTCAATTCTTTAACAATCCTCATGAGATTAAGAGATTTTTCAACAGCTTCATGTCTCAAAGGCTTTTCGTTGAACCAAATTCCATTTTCCATTCTTTGGCTTTCAAGGTAGAAAAATCGTTCAGACGATTTTACACGAGAAGGACTATAAAACTTTATCACAATGAGCTGACAAATATTTTATCTTACCATCGACTTAAATAGAGTTGACACAAACGTACCAGACACCTCATTGGATTTGTAGCATCTCGCCGTAAAATATAAGTCTGTTTCCGCTTCTTGCAACCTAAAAACCAGATTTACAAAGTTTTTTACAAATGGAAATTCTAAACCGTTTTGTGCACGACACGTGATTGTTATATTATCAGGGCAGTGTGAAAATTCGTAATTTATTTCACATATGGAAAGTCCCATGTGTTTATCAACAGTCTAGAACCAAAACAATTGAAAACAAAAATTTGAACTACATTCAAATTACCGAAAATTTGAGATTTTTGGTGAAGAGATATATCAAAGTGTTGACTAGAACATCAGGGTTGTGGTCGCCAAGTTGTTTCGTCTCCCATAATAAATCTTCTTGGATTTTTATCCCCCCCAATCCGTGAGGTATTTCATTGGTTACGACTGCATCAAAACACTTTCGAAATTTTTTAAAGTTTGAATCGAAAAAAATGTTTTCATCACGACCGTTGTTTAATAAATATCTCTGGATTCCTAAACACAGGGAGTAAATTGTATCAGGGGCGAATTTATTTTTATCCGGCCTTTCAATTTCTATCACAAATTGGGCCAAAGCATTGCATAATTCACTAGACTCCATTTTAATTGCCTTTTTATCATATACAATTTCATTAGCCAACCAGTAATTAAACGTAGTAATTCCAATTCCGGACTGTAAAAAAAAGCATTATTCTTGTCCAGAAAGTGTATAAAAAAACAAACTTCTGAAAGATAATATTCAAATGAGGGCTTGGAATGAGATTTCGTAGGCTTTAAACTTTTTATTTCGATTTTAGCAGATTTAATTTCTTTCGATTTTCCTGGAGGCTTCTTATTTTTCTTCGCTTTATTTTTTCTTAGAACTGAAAAAAATCGACAAAGCTGGTGTAAATTTTTAATAAAAATATTACTTTGCTTCCTTGGCGCACGTTTTTTGACCACTTTAGGTTTGCTCTTCTTCACACAATTCTGTTTATTGTGCGAATCCAAAATTTCTACAAGTCGAGATAAATAAGAAAAAAAAACGAAAACACTACATACTTTGCAAATAAAGAGACACAATTTGGCTACTTGTTGTCGTATATCTGAACTTAACCAAACAGAGTAAAGTGCAAAATTTGGAAATACTTGAGTCTGCCATTGGGAAAGTAAATTTTTGATACGTCACTCTTTGGCATTGGTCACATGTGGCACTAAAAATTCTCTATCGATTAAAAAAGAAACACCAAATTTTCTCTACTTACTACAGTAAGGATTTTTTGTCTAAACTTAAACATTTCAAACTACAATAAGTCTTTACTTTACTTCCTTGGTAATTTCTTATAATTTCATGTTTTCGTTTGACCACTGAACAACATTTACAAGGGACTAGTTTTTTGTCCATGTCTATGAACAATTTGCGACAAATCTTAGAACAAAAGAATTTTAAGCCAGAGTTAACAAAAATTACAAATTTGTTTAATTGTTTGAAAGGAACAAATTTGCCGCAATAGCCACAAGCCCTTGCATCAATACCATATCCGTCACAAAAATTCGAAAAACACAATTGGCTACAAAAATAGTAACTCGTTTCGAAATCCAACGATTCAAATTTGATATAATAATTGCACATTTTGCCACAATTCTTGCATTCTTGAACAGGGTTTTTTGCCGAATTGGTGACGTAACTTTCCTGACATTGCTGATTACAAAATGTATTTTCACTTGCTAGTCTAGCCCGCAGACAATATTTGCACTTTTGGAACTTTTTTCCATGTTTCTTCAAACAAACAGCGTTACAAAATTGCCGAAGATCACCTCCAACTCTCACACTGTAGGCCCCAAGAGCCTTAAAAGGGACTATTTTGCCACATTCGAGGCAAAACGCCCCAAACTCGCTTTGGAACTCAACTAAAACAACTCATGAAAATCATTAAAATTCAAATTTGTCACATACGCAAACAAAGCTCGTTACAGAAATCCTTCGAGTGCCAAGTGAAGTTGTAATTTTTGTCTATGTCGCAGTTACAGACACAGCAGTGGCGTTTGATGAAGGGAGCATTGGCTGCGGAGGGTTTTACCACAGAAATAGCTTGGGGCCAATTTAAGTGATATGTGAGGTGGTCGCATTTAAAGTCTTCCAAACAGTTGTCGTGACACAAATAGTCGACGATGGGATCTCTTCTAATTTGGTAACGAACGACCCGTTTCTTGAAACAGTGCAGAATAATGTCGCAAAAGTGGGAGGACTTGTGGGCGTGGCATTGCGGAATAACCACGCCCACATGCTCTTCTACTCTTGCGCCATCTGGAACTTACGACTTTACATTGGCAGCACACTTGTAAGTTGCAAGAATAATATTTGGAAATTATAAAAGTGTCGTTGCGAATTGTTGCGTCGCGTCGCAGCGTGAAGTAAGGTTTTAGGGAACTTGGATTTTCCGAAAATTTGAGAAATGGTTCTGGTTTTGGCAGTATTTTCCTTCTACCCATCTTCTGTAATAAATATAATTAAAGACAGTTGAGAATGTTTGAAAAAATTAATATATATATATATTTCTGATCACCTGTAATGGGTATGGTACGACATATCTATTTCTTAGATTAAATAAATATTTAGAAAATTAGCTAAATGTTAAGTTCATAGCAGATATCGCATAATTCATGAAAAAACTTATAAAAGTTTCGCCGTATTTGAGGTTATAGTCAAGTAGTTTCCAAGACAACTGTGATGCTTCAAATTGTTTTAACATCATTTTCTAAATACGTCTTTGATTGAAATTTAACGAATTATTGAAAATTCAATGCTTAAGATCGTAATATTTAGGAAACAAAACATTAATTTAAAAACTTACCGTTGAAGTTATGAATGTATGGTTTGTTTATCATATAAAAACAATAGATAACAAAAATATTTCGAATACGATGATTTTAACACAAAATATTCTCAAAAAACATGCTGATAAACAAAAGTTGCTTCTAGCATAACTTAACCAATAATAAGAAATAAGACTTCCGAGAACTCAGGTGGCGTTGTTTTGAAATCTGGAAAAAACAACTAGCCGTAATAGTGCTGTACTAAATTAATAATGAAATTTGTCTCTTGATCGTTTCTTAATTCGTATCAATATGAACCAACACTAAATTATATTCATTAGGAACCCTCATATTAATAAACAAATACTTTAAAACCATTTCTTTATAATAAATGATCAGTTAGTTGTTAACACAGTGTTAATAATACCGGGTGACTGTAAATGATCGTCATGTTGGCAACAATTTTCGCATCTTACCTAGAATTTTTAAGTAATTCTAATTTACCTAATTACAATGGCGGATCTAGGCACATCTACATCAAACACCTTTGGAGGGGGCTAACAATAAACGTGAAAAAAAATACAAAACAACTCTATTATTTTCAAAGATGTGACAATACTTTATGGAACAAAGTTGAACAGTTTCTTGTCATCTATTGTTTGGCATAGATGTTTAATCAATGCTGCTTCCTGTTTCACCGGAAGTGACATTAATTTTAGTTTTTTAAATGTAATATCCTGTATATTTTATTATTTTTGGATTCCTCATTAAATTGTCTTGCAACAAGCTCACTTACTATTACTTAGTTATCATTAACTTTTGATTTTAGGCAATTTGAAAATTAAAGTTGGCTGTGGAAAGAATAGAATATTATTATTTATTTTATCTAAGACAAGCAAGCGATTAGTCACGAAAAACTGTTCAACTGTGAGCAAAAAGTATTATAATGCATTTAAAAGTAATGAAATTATGGCTTGGGTCATTTTTTATTTTACAGCCTGCATAAACAATAAATTTGAATTATTTTTTAACAAAATTGTATAAAAGCATATTTGACAGCTATTTGACAGCACTTTGACCATTAATTCATTAATTGAATAATGATAATTCTTGTTAAAAATGACTCTGTTGTTTATTTTAAATCTGTTTCTTTGAGTTGCTATCTATTAAAATTATGTTTTTCAGAAACATTTTTGTTATTTAACTTGTGTTAATTTATTTTTCAAAGTAACATCGTTGTCAAAAAAATAAAAAGGCCAATATGAATTCACGCACCTGATATTTTACTATTTTATGGCTTTTGATGCGTTAAAAATATCTTTCTTTTTTCTTTATTTTTGTTAGCGCAGTATACAGGATGCGCCAGCACTCGCACCCCAGAGAAAATTTTCAAGTAAGGTAATAAGATACCAAGAACTTGAAAAAAATGTTTAAAAAATTCTATCTGTCAAAAAATTTTGACATTTATTTTTTGACATTTGACATTTTTTTATATCTATTTAATGATACTGATGATCTTGTAAGTATATGTTTTTTTAATTATTTAGTAAAGGGACAAACTTTTTGCCAATAAAAGCCACAAATAACATTGAATAGAGTTACAATTTAAGATACAGCTTCCTTGTTTCCTCTTTTAATAGCCTATAGCAAAAAACTTGGAATTAGTATATTACATAATGAGCACGGAAAGTGATAAATAACGCACAAGCGGGAAAGCTGCGCACGAGGCGTTAGCCGAGTGTAGGCAATACCGCGAGTGCGTTAGACATTTTCCAGCAAGTTCCTGCAAGTTTGGTACACTATTTTTCCTACGACCATACATAATTTTTTTCTTACGAACATATTTTTTTTCATAACGATTTATTTTTTATAATGGATACAAAAATACGTTGAATAACGATTTATTTTTTATAATGAATACAAAAAAAATACGTTAAATGAAAAAATACAAAACATTCGAGTGTGAATTGTGCGTTAGATTTCTAACACACAGTGCGAAAACAAATCGCACAGGTTATCGACCTCGTACGATATTGCCAATTTTCGCGCATATGTAATTGTGCGTTATGATCTAATTTCGTATATAAATAGAGTCAAAGTGCAACCTTTAAACCCTCATACCTTTGAAATTTTTATACTTAGATATTTTTTTTTAAACATTTTCTGGTATCTTACCTTATATGGCATTTTTCTCTGGGGCGTGAGTTCTCGCGCACGCTGTATAAGACAAAAAGTGTATTTTCTGATTTTTTAACAATTTGGGAGACATTTTAAAATAACAATATAATTTTTTAAATTTAGCGCGTGTAAAACGGAACAACAGTTTTTTGCAATACCACCAACACAAGTACAAGAAAAAGAAAAAATAAACAGTTTGGATGCAAAATTATTTTTATAACATTATTAGCGCGTGTGTTTTTATATTAATTATTTATTTATTATTTAAATAGCTTTCATTTGATGTGCCACAAGTGGGGTAGGGCAATTTAAATTTTTAAAGTTGGGGTGTGTGGGGTTTACAAGTTACTGGAGGTACTTCAAAAATTACGGCAAAGAATGTTGCCCTTGACCTGTTTTGTCATTTTTTCAAAATCTTTTTAGTTTCTAAGACATTCAGGGTGGCTCGTTTTTATTGGGCCACCTGAAAATTACAATACCTATTATTACCCTGTACTACTTATAACGATTTTATTTGGAATAAAATAAAAATATACTGAATTGTTTATTATTTGTTTTTATTTTGGTATAACTGTTTTACTTGAATATTTATCAAACTCTACAAATAAAGGTTGAATAAAAAAATAAATCGTAAAGTCTGTTTTTTTTTAATGGAAATGCCAAACAGTCCTAACGTTGGCATCACTAGTAAATTCATTCATGGTAATTTTAGTAAAGGAAGTTAGCAGTTCCGGTTTTTCGAATTATTGACATTAAACGTCAACACAAAAAATCGTCTAAGAAAATTTAGAGACGAAACACCAAAAAAGAAACAAATTCGGTACACTAACAGTTTTTCGAAATTTGGAAACGAATAGTTCGCAAGCAGGAAGTTTGAAAAAGGGCCCGTTAAAATGTAGACGCAATTTATAATGCAGATTTGCTAAATATTCTTTATTTTTAGCAAGAAATCGACAAGAATACAAAATAAACATAAGTAAGAAAGAACCTCGGAAAGAACGCCATTAAATTAGTGTCTTGTGCATCGTTTTTTGAAGAATGAGTTGAAAAAGTAATAATTTTGAAACTAAAGCTAAAGACGAATTTATAAAATGCATCAACTTTGTGCTCATTTCAATCAATTACACAAAATTTATTGCCAATCATCATAATACTACTTGTATCTTTTGCTAACTAACTTTTTTCTGTATATACATTTTTTTTTCCAAGTTTTTGTAGCAAGAATCTCATTTTTGTCCATAACATTATACTTACTTGCGGTGTGTTTTTGTCAAAATTATTAGCACTGAATTCTGTCTTTAGACCTTAGGTAATGATGTCTGTCCTCAGGTATTAAATTATAGCACTTTCAAAAAGCAAACAGGCACACAAGATTCATAAAAGTCAAAATTTTGACAACATTTCAATTGGAACACATAACCATAATTTTTTAACAAAATTTCTAGGGACAAAAACAAAGAGCAAACAAAATTTGCAGCTTTGGAGACAAGCTGCTACCAATTTTTTCTTGGTAATTTCCATTAAAAAAAAAGACTAGTTCAAAAATTTTGAAAAAAATATCAACTTTTTGATGGCCTTAGTTAGCATACAGTGTGTGCCCGGGATTGAATTTACAAGAAGAAATTTTTTTTTATCTGAGATTTTACGCCAAAACTGCAAAGGCAAAACATTTTTTGCTTCACCTGAAACGAGCAAATCTGTAATTAAAACTTCATTTTTCTAATTCAGTGAAAAGAAAAGTTAATTTTTCTCTTAATTTTGGACTAATTTTTCTCTATCGTATCGTACGCTTTTTCTATATCAAAAAAGATGCAAAAGATTTTTTGTTCGGTGGCAAAGGCTTCATGGATTTCTGATTCCAAATTAATTAATAATTATGAAGTCTGTTGTCGATCTGTATTTTTGAGAATGATTAAGTAATTTTTTGTTTTCTACATACCAGAGTAGGTGCGTATTGAGTGAGTATTTTCTCAAGGACCTTGTACATACAACAATTTTCTTAAAACAGTTGAATTATGGAACCATATAAAATAAAAAATACAAAATGAAAAAAACAAAAAAAAAACCCTAAAACATTTTTATAGTACCGTGCGATCAAAAAAAAATAAATTAGAGTAGGCGGTGATTAAAGTCCTTCAGATGGCAATCTTGATTTTTGACGTCAAATGTCAGCGGAAACTTTTACAGGTTTGCGTTTTATTCCTTTTGAGTGAAATAATGTTCACTTTAGAGCAAAAATTTTTTATTGCTGTACAAGAGGAAAACGGTGGATGGTCATTTTCTCTTTCAGTTTGTGTGGAAAATTTCCAGCCCAGATTCTCAGCCAATGTGTTGCCAACTGTAGAATTTAATCGATGCCTACTCTAATTTATTTATTTTTTGATCGCAAGGTACTTTGTAGTAAATAATTTAAGTAAAAAACGTTGTCCTTGGCAACGCTTATTAATCGATTTACAAATCCATAACTACAAGAAGTTAAAAATTGGAATTGTTTTAACTTAAAGGTTAAAAATACTTATGTATAGTCCTGTTTCCTGTTTGCTTTTTATGTCTTCTAACATTATTATGTATGCAAGCAAAAATAAAATTTGAAATATCTGTTTCAAAGCGTTTCAGAAATGTGTAGATTCGTTTTCTTGTAGCCACCGGATATTATCACCCACCACAGATATCAATATTATTTCATTTATTTTATTAATAAAATATCTAAAATACAAAATCTACCAACTAAAACTATGTCTACGTTAACATTAAGCGAGAGAGAACAGAATCTCTAACCATTAAATAAGAAATTCATAGTTCTTACCAATAAGAACATACTTATCAGTAACTTATCACAGATAATTTTGCTTAATAATTTACCCTTATATTCCACGTATATCAAAAAAATAAATAAACTACGTTGATTTCTTCGTTACCTGTGATATTGGAATTGTAGTTGGCTGCTTTTTAAATAACAAACAATAATCTTTTTATCAGCAAACGTCACAAAAGTAACTACTTTTCTGACTAAATGTTACAAGTAAAAGTCTCATCTTTCAGCCATGGAGTAAAATTACTATTTTTTCGCCTAAACGTTTTTACTTTTACCATGAGATTACTGAAATTTACCTTGAAATTTGTCAATGTTGTTTCTTTCTTGTCTCTGTCGCTGCTTCAGCAAAGGTAAAGTCAAAGATCTGTTAAAAATAATGTTGTAATATAAATTGTAATATTGTAATACTGAATTAAAAATATTGATCTATTCCAAAATCTTTAATTCCGGGAAAGCGATTCTTTATTTTACAGACTATTTTGTTTCCTTTAGTTACAGCAGATGTTAGAAAAACGATATTTTATTAATTGATGGATTCATAGAAAAGGAGTATAGATAAACAAGCACTTTCAAAAGAGTTTTTATCATTTTTTTAAAATCGACTTACATATGCAGAGTGGAAAGCATTAAATTAGTTCATGCAAAATCTCGTAGATTAGTATTTTTGTTTATATAAAATTAATATGTGTAAATGGTTCTATAATAACCATAAACTTTATTCGAATCTAATTTAGAATTATTTATTAAAGCACAAATCGTGTTTTAAAAAGAGAGAAACAAATAACAAATATTTTGAAAGTGAGAAACGAATTGCGCATAAGAACAGTAAAGCTTATTTGATATTCAACTTTTAACTAACTACACAATAAAGTTCTAAACAAATGGTCCAACATTTATAGGAACAATTGTTTTCTACAGTGAGAAAGAATGATTAAAAGTTTTTTATTTGTGGTTATTTTAAAAAAGACTATTTTTGCGAAGATTAGTCAAAACTAGAGCATATGAGACGGCAATTCGTATCATCTGAAATAAAAATTAAAGTAAAAGATCACAAATGTAGATAGACACACCGAGACAAACATAGTACAATCTAAACAAATCCCAACACAAATAATACTCTCATTCTTAGTACAATTCGTTATAAACATCAAAAGGATTTTTATGTTTTCAAGATTCCAATAGTACCAAGGAGCTGCAGCTAAAGTAAAAAAAATATTGCTCGTCTAAAATAAAATCATTGAGAAATAATTAATAACGTATATGCACAAAAAAGTTAATATTTTCACAAACCACATCTATCAGTTGTTGACCATTCCAACACAACAATGACATAATGCAAAAAGTATTTATTGCAAAAATGACTAGTCGAATTGTTAAAATGTAGGTAATGGTGTCGGCAAACTACAACTTATTTTTTACTAATTATTTTAATGTTTGCAATAAACTTACGTTCAAAATGTATGCAAAAAAACTAATGAGAAGAAAAACTCCAAATAGCAGAAATAACGGCATGGCTGTCAACATAAGACTCATAACCATTTTCACCAATCTATAAATAATTGATTTAAAAATATTAACTTGTGAAGACGAAAGATTTAAAACTTTTTTAAAGCAATGTGGTGTGTAATACAATGACGTAACATATTTCCAATTTCTTGTTGGTACTGAGCATCTTGTAAATATTTCCAACTTTTCAGATGATCAATCTCATATATTTGTAATAAATATTCTTCAATAAGTAAGAATTGTAGCTGTACTTGTAAAATTCCATAAACACAAATAAAACAAATTTTTAAGTAATAGTAATATAAAAGTGGAGTTCCTACTATATAACAATAGTAAGGAATAAACGACCATTCGCCAAAATATTCCTCAAAAACTGTAAAACAAATGAAAAAATCTTTTTGAGATCCAAAATGTGGATAATTGACGATCATTCCGATTATATTAAGTAGCAGAATGAAAAATATACAGATATTTATGACCTGACATTTTTTCTCGAATTTTATTTGAGCATCTCTTCTTATCATATTAAGGGACCAACAAGTTTTTTGCACAAATGTTACCATTTCACAAATTTTCTTGTCCATAGTCATACAAAAAATTGCTGTGACAATCATCTTTAAAAAGACAGTTATTGCACTAAAAGCAACAGTTTTATTTCACTTACAAATAGGAAAAATATTGTTACTGGGCTATATTTAATTAAGAGGTTTAAGCTGAAATTTTTGCACATGTAGTATATTTGCAAACACTGAATCAGTGAATAAATTATTATAAGCAAAACAGTAGAAAATTTTGTTATTTTCTTGTCATTAATAAAAAATATCTTTCTCAACATAATAAAAGGGTCTGAAATTTAATAAATTAATAATTTTCATATAATTTAGCTCTTGTTATTACCATTGAATTCAGGCATTATATTGTGTGTTGAAAACCAGTCACTGTACTGTAATTCTACATCTTTTGAATTGACAAATATCGGAAAATAATTACAGAACGTTTTAAACTAAAATATTTAAGATCAGACAACAATAATTAAATGATTAATAACAGACTTAATTACACAATGGTACAGTTAATTGACCATTTCTTCAATAAATTTAGTTTTAAAACCATTACACTCGCTGCATCTTTTATATTTTTGAGCTCTTTTTCACTGAAAATTTTCAAGGGAAAATTAATGAACCGGTAAATTATAAAATTAAAACTTGCCATCTTGTGTTAAGGGTTATGATGTGAGTCGGCAGTGATGTAACGGAGTGTCTTTCTTATAAATATCAAATTCTAAACATGCTACAATCGGCACCAAATTCCAATTCTCGAAGAGGACGTGCTGACCCTTTTCGACGAACAACATCCCAACGCAGGGTCGTCCTAAGATATTTGGCACCCTTGGGCTACTAAAAATAGTACGCCCCTCAGAAGAAAATACATGAAAAGGAATGCGAAGAGAGAGTAAACTTTTACAAAAATTAAAGAGGTGCCCCAACGAATTGTTTAGATTGTTAAATTTTCTATTTAAAAACATACTTTTAAATGTCTTAAATGTCCTATAGTCCGGTCAAATTAGTCATAAAAATAGTGGTCAAATAACAAAAATTCCGACAGAGCTAAATTTTGGTGGAGACCTTGGGTACACCATTAGAAATAAAGTGTCAAAAGTCCCCATCGATCCCATGT